TTCACTTTTTTAATTTTTTCACTTTTTATTTTAATATATAATATTTCATTGATGGAATGAACATAAGTTTATATGTTTGCACTCCAATCATGAATAGGTGCACTCTTAATCGAAATTCATGAAAATATTTATTTAAGTATTCTCGTATATTTGATTTAAACGTGTATTTATGTAATTTACATGTGCTTTTTTATTGTAAATGGAAAAATTGTTATGTGCAAGGATTACAATATAAAAGTGCATTTTACTGTAATAACAATATTGTGATTTTCCTCCAGAAAAAAAAACAATATTGTGATTTTATTATATCTTAGATATGAATTTCACAAACAGAAAAAACGTTTTTGAATATATCTAATATATTTCACGTTTAGTTGTTTGCTTTTCAGATGTAATATTTCTTTAATGGAATCAACACAAGTTTATCCATTTGCACTTATAACATTGAATTCATGCACTTTTATTTGTAGTTTTATGCAATTTTTTATTTAAACACTCACACATATTCGAATTGTGCATTATTTTTTATATGTACTTTTTTTCATATGCAATATTCCATTTGTGGATTCAACCTGGGTCTGTTCATTTGCACTTCAACGTTGAATACATACACTTCTATGTATCATTCAACAATGTAAATGTCTTTAAAGAGAAATAATATGTTAATGAAGATTTATTTGCACTATTGTAAAGTGCAATTTTATATCATTTCTTTACACTTTCTGTAACACAAACATACACTTTAGTCATGCATTCGTGCAATTCTATACACATTTTAAATAAAAAAACTTCAAATAAAAAAGAACAAAAATATATAAGTGTGCAATCTAACAACTATAATGTGCATTTCAAATGCATACAAAAGTGCACAATTATATAACATGTTCTAAAGTTCTACATACATCCTTTTTTACAAAAATAAATGCACTTTATCACGTGCATCAGAAATAAATAAAAAAAATCCACTATTATATCACACTTTCTAGAGTTTTACACTGACACCTTTTACAAAATCAACTTAAATGCACTTTTTTGTCCAAATGGATCATAGTTGTCCATTAACACTGCATCGAATCTGTAAAAAAATAAATTTAAAACTAATGAAAGTGCATGACCAGAGCATGGAAAGTGCATCAAAAACTTAATATAAAATCATCTTTATTATAATCTGATGAAAATTAAATTGATAACTATCATGGTTTTATTATTATAATTATAGAAAACATATTTACTAAACAGACAAATAGGGTTAAAGGTCAATAGACAAATAGGCATAAAACATTTGTGAAAGTGCACTAATTAAACTATGATAGTGCAGTGATGAACCAAATCAAGAGTAAACTAAAATCGAATAAAGGTCAAAATCATAATAGGAGAACCAGACATAAAGAATAAATACATGGCATAAAAATTGTGAAGCATAACCTAAACTTGTAAAAGGTGCATCAAACATGTCGGAAAGTGCATGAGGTAAACCGTGCCAGTGCACTAATGAACCAAATTAATAAGTAACATAATCAACACAAAGCTCAAAATGCCACATAACAAAATCAGGAGAGAACCAGAAATGAATTTATAAATTAGTATGAATTTTGTGTAATCACAAAAGAAAATACTTTACAATCATGCAAGTACATAAGAGAGGTATTTTATGCAATCGAAAAAATCATTCAGAAGCAGTTATGTAATTTATGATTGTTGGAATGAGTAGCTTCTGCTTCCAAGCTTTTCAATTCCTCATTACAATCAGGAATATTCTCACACTCAGAAGAGCTTGATTCCATGTTCATGGCAACAGTTTCATCACCAGCACCACTATCGGATTCACCACTAGTACCTTTAGGTTGATATTTGAATTCGTCCGTGTTACACAAAACATACTTCCACACATCACTACTCTTTTATGAGGTGCTATTACAAATATCAAAACCACAAAGAAATGCATATTGTTTATGTATAGAATCGAATGCCGGCAACAACATTTTTGAAAATCATACCAACATAAGACTTACAATTCTCAACACAATCAAGAATCCAATATTTAGTAGAGTTTGGAGAAACTTCAACTTTAGATGAAATGACAAGAGTTTGGTGTAGAATCAGAACAAAGGAACTCGTAAGTGGAATCTACCAATAAATAAATATCTAGTATCAATCAAATGCATAAATAGATAAAGACTTAGTACACTCAAAACTGAAAAGTGTAACACTAAGGTATATCAAGAGATTATCAGGTAAAAAGTGCACTTAACAGGAAGGAAAGTGCACGATGTATATGTAAACTCTGATAGTTCAATGTTTGATCAAATCACAACATAAAATCAGATTAAAACTAAAAACTTCAAGTAACTCAACAACAGTAGAATGCAGAAACATATGTTCAACACAACAACATAAAATTAGATTAATGTTCTACATACATCCTTTTACATAATAAAATGCACTTTTATTGTATGCATTTGAAATAAATACAACACGCACTACTATATCACACTTTCTACAATTTTACATTGACATCTTTTACAAGATCAAATTCAGTTTTTCTTCCATTGATAGAGCATCATATCTGCAAAAAGAAAGTACAAAATTTAAAACTAATAAATGTGCATGATCAAAGCAGGTTAGTGCATCAAAAGTTTAATAGAATATCATATTTATTATTATCTCAAAAATTAAATAGATAACATTAAATTAAATTTCTAGAGCCAATAAACCATACACAAATACGAATTAAATGTATGAAGCATCAATAAGTGATGTTTATTATTGAGACAAATAGAACTAAAGGTGCAAAGGACATGTATGAAAGTGCAGGAATTAAACAGTGATAGTGCAACAATGGATCAAATGAAGATTAAACTAAAATCAACATAAAGCTCAAAATCAAAATAACCGAACTAGAGAAGAAGAAGAAATACATGGCAAAACGTCTGAGCAGTTAAAATAGCAGACAAACGACCAATACAAGACCACAAACAATAATATTCTTACTAACAAGATGAATTCAACGATTACTGCATCCAAATCTAACAAAATTAATTCAACAATTACAATATATAAATCAACGATTACGACAATAAACATTCTTACTCACAAGACGAATTCAACGATTACTAACAATACATTTTTACTAACAAGACTCACCCAGATCTATATAAGAAGTCATCTGAGAAATCAAAATTGTTCTTTGATGAGGAGCTTGTGTTAAAAATCCAAAGCTAATGATGATTGAGGGCGATAAAGAGAAGAAAGACTTAGAGGAGAGATTCCACGATCGCAAACAATTCTGATTTCGATGTAAAATTCCGAAGCTAATGTCGATGGAGGGCGGCTGAGAGAAGAAAGACTCGGTGGAGAGCGACAAAGAGAGGAAAGTCTCAGAGTAGAGATTCCAAACGATCGCACAAGGTTCTGATTTGGAAGGAAGGTCAAGTAGAATGACTGAGTTACCCTTATACGAATAATCAAATTAGAAGAAATAACTGTTCAATCCAATGACCCTAATCAGTTCTCATTTCTCTCATTAGATGGTGTTCTCATATGATCTCTTCCCTATATATATATATATATATATATATATATATATATATATATATATATATATATATATATATATATATAAAGATAGCAAAAGAAGAAGAAAATGTCACTTTTACAAAAATGGATGGATTAAATATGGGGGATCAAAGACGAGTATAAAAAATGTCTTTCTAATAAGAGTTTATGACTAAAAGTGGAATAATTCAAAGACAGAATTCCCTACATAAGAATAAAAATGTTTTGAAATTCTAAAACAGGACTATCGCGTTTTTTTATTTCCTGAATATGAGTAAATTTTCGTCAAGTTTGGCATTACTAGGTTTTAAACTTGCATTTGTTTTCAAATTTGGCAGAATTACTCCTATTTAGAAAATAAAAACTCGAAAGTCCTATTTTGGAATTTCAAAACGTTGTTACCTTTATTAAGGGCAATTTCTATAATTCAAAATGAAATACCAAAAGTATTAGTGAGGTAATAATATGGCGAACTTGAATGTGGAAATTGAAATATAAAAAAAAAAGACAAAAAGTGACGTAAATCAAAATGACTTTTAGTCTAAAAGTGGCAAGAAAAACTCCACAAAAAATGTACTCCCTCCGTCCTCCAATTAAGTTCTCACTTTCCTTTTTGGTTAGTCCCTAAATTAAGTTCACACTTCAATATTTTTCTTATTTGGCAAATAATCTACATTAAAATAGTGTCAAACAGTGTCAAACAGTGTTTACACAATGCAAAACAGTGCACTCCACATTAAAGTCAAATTTATTTTCTTAATATGTGTGAAGTTAAACCAAGAACTTAATTGAGGGATGGAGGTAGTAGAAATTTGAACGTAGGCATACAATAATTGTAAGGCTACCATCTTTTGCATTGAAAAGGTCTCAACCAATGTTCTAAAAGGCGCTAGGCGCTAGTCGGGCGCCAGCCCAGCGCCTAGCGCCTAGGCGGCTAGGCGGACGCCTAGTCGGGGACTAGTCGGAGACATAGAATTTGCATTTTTATCTATATTTTTGCATAAATATGATAAGTAATAATGTATTTTTGGTGTGTATAAATACATATGTACATATACATTAACAAACACGAATGATAAAATTATCACATTTAGGTATATATACTAACATATATAGTTTTATCTTAATTTACAACTTCATTTCTTTATATCCATGGCTAAAGTTAAAGTACGTATGTCGCTTAGAAAATTAAAATTAAAATGTGAAGTAATGTTAGGCGAATCTAGACGGCCCAGGCGGCCGATTAGGCGCTCTAGGCGGACAACTAGGCGCCATAGGCGGCCGACTAATTCACCTAGACGGCAAACCAATTAGTCGGAGCGCCTCGACGAAAATCGGGGCGCCTGACCACCGCCTAGCGCCTAGGCGGGTACTAATCGGACGCCTAGAACGATTTTTAGAACAGAGGTCCCAACCCGACACTTGTATACTTCTGACATTGATTAGTTTTTCTTTGCATTATCTTTGAACATATCAAAGCTCGATTGGAGCGATTTTGTTCGAGAACAGATGTTACAGTTTAGAGAACTACATTTGCCTATAAATTGAGATTACAAATTCAGCTCAGTACCAGAAAATTGCCCCAGAAAGTAGTGTGCAGAATGTACAAATCAAACAGCATGCGCTGATGTGAGTGATGTCCCTTAATAATATTATGGACATCAACTCAGGTTGGGTTTACAGACTGAACAGCCTTCTTATCATGTGAATATCTGTTCTACAAAATGGACATGTCTTGGCTTCCCCTTCACTAATCCTGCTCACACAAATTAATAACACGATTAGCGACCCATAAATACGTCTAAATTTGGATCAAAGTATATCTGAATTATTAAGATTTGAGATTCATTTCCAAAAGGGGATTTTAAAACTTGACATTCCATCCTAAAAAATGTTTGAATCGAGTAGTATCAGTGTGAAATAAATAACTGAATAGGTGAGTTGAATATAATAAGGCTATAATAAGACACTTTAAGACAATCCTTGTTGGATAGACTCAATAAATTGTTGAAAAAGAAAACATGGAGATTTAGAAAAAATGAAATGTAAGAATGACATACAAAGTATTTTTTTCATTAAAAGCGAACATGGAAATAATTTTCGGAGGATCTCAAAATATAGAATAGAATTTGTAAAAAACTTTTCAGATTGGAATAGTTTACAAAATTCAGTTTATTTAAGAATAGCATAACTAAATCTTTTCATATTAAAAAAATGATAATGAACATCAGAAAATTGGATTCAAAACAAAAATTGGAAGAGTATAACATAATTATGGAGTGTTTGTCATTACTTCTACTTTAAACAAGTGATTTTTTAAAGTGATTTTGGAAATGCACTTAATAGTTAATGTTGAAGAAAAAATCTAAAAAAGTAAAAATTGATAATGTTTGAGAAAATAAATATTTTTGTATAATAGAGGCACTTTACAACACCCATTCACCTACTTCCTGTTTTTAGCTCTCGTTTGAAAACACACAATCATCTTTTCAAACCAAAAGATAAAAAAACATGTCTTTTTAACTTTACAAACACTCCCCTTAATGCTTCTTAAAAGTCATGGTAAGGGGCATACCTTTTGGAACATTCATAACAAGAAGCAAAGTGACCGCACGGGACAAAAAAACAGCACCGGTTATGATCATAGCAAATGGCACATATCTTTCTGCTGTAAAACTCCTCGCCGCCTTCCCCCGACGAATTGCTCCGGCTGCAGTTGCTGGACTCTTCATCTTCTTCCCCGCAAGCTCCATAAAGAATCGGAATCGCCGCCTTTGGCAGCAGCCGGCTACTCTCCGTCGAACCTCCTCCTCCCTCACAATCCAAGTAGCCAATCAATTTCAGCACCAATGCGGCCACCATCACCAGTATCACTGAAAACTCACCCAAAGATTAATTTTCGAACATGAAACGGGAGTATGAAAACATAAATAGGAGTAAAATTTTCAAGATAGGATTGTCGTTTTTTTTTGCGGAATCAAACTGCAAACTTGACAGTATGTAATACTCCCTCCGTCCCAATATAAAAGGCACATTTGCGTTTGGGGAGTTTTTAAGGGTGAACACTGTTTGAACACTGTTTGGCACTGTTTGGACATTGTTTGGCACTGTTTGGCACTGTTTTGTACTGTTTTGTTTGCCAAAAAGGGAAATGTGCCTTTTATATTGAGACGGACCGAAAATGAAAGTGTGCCTTTTATATTGGGACGGAGGGGGTATGTAATTACTCAAACTTGACAGTATAATTTCTCAAATTCTTTTACTCCTGTTTCGGGAATTCTCCCAAAAAATAAAACCACGCATCCAAGTGATATACTGACCAAGAACACAAGTGTAAACAAACACACAAATCGCGAATCCATATGGAACAGTTTCATCGTCCTGTAAAACACAACCATGTCTCGTTATTAGTTTGCTCCAACGAGTCACCATCTCAATAAGAAAGAGGAAACTACTTTGATCTTCATTACCTCTACCTTAAAAGAACCAAGTGGGAACGCCATTTGTAACGCCGTTCAGAGGTGAATCTGTTATTGTAGTTTTCTACTTCAGAGCTGCTACTTTGACTGATAAAAAATAAAGAAAGCAGTGCATTTTAAAATACCTTTCACTACCGAAGGGAAGAGAAAGATTTCATGGTAATTTAATAAACGTGTATAGAAGGTCAAACCACTGCACTACTCCGTGTAATGTGAGACTAATTTATTCATGGCGAATTGAATAGGAGAGATGGTCTGATTTCTGAGGACAGTGGCCATAAGAAAGTATCGGATTATGACTAATTTATTACGTGGTAAGAAATAAAATTGTATAAGGTTCACTTGCAATATGACTGCTAAATTTAATGCGAAAACTATTTTTTTTTTTTTTTGCTAAATTTAATGCGAAAAAACGTTAACTTAAAAAGTGAGGAAATAAGAGTAGACACAATGTAAAATTTCAAAATACTTTGCTTCCTTTTTTTTCTCTTTAAATAGGAACAACTTGTCACGTTTTTGTCATTTTGTAAAAATGGTGACATTTTTTAAAATTGGCTATAATTTAGTAATATTTAAGAGAAACCTCGTTTTCCCATTGTTGCTACGTTTTTCATTTTTTGTTTAATTTTTTTGTTATTTAGCAGCTAAGTTATTTGTTCAGATGATATTTTTTAGAGTTGGAAGAAAATACACAGGATTTCCACAATAATTTTGTCTCCCCTATGAACAAAATGTAATTACTATCAAATGTATCAAATTAATTGATTTCATATGACCTTATCATATGTAATTTTATATGGAAGATTACAAAACTTTAGAACTTATTCAATCAAAATTTCATTAATTTGAGCAGGATCAGCCGATTTATCAAATGGACCCTTTTAATTTAATATTTTTTGTAAAATTGGAACGCAATTGAAAAGGTCATTACAATTTCAAAGAAATGCATTGACATTGGGAGTGGTGAACAAAATGGTTCTTTCCAATTTGACTTTCCTCCATTGAGGAAAGAATTCTAGACTTCTGTTCCCCCATTTGGGTTATAAAGTACAAACCTTCTTGCCAGGTGAGACATTTTAGGGCCCCTCTAACCCTCTTTCTTTGACACACAAATTTTATTTACCAATCTTTAGCATGTTCACAGGATAGAATTTTATGCTCAGTGTTCCCCCATTTAGGATACAAACTTCAAACCCATACCAACATGTTTATCGATGAACTATTAGTTTCCAAAGTGGCTAAAGCACTTTACAAAAATAATAATTACGGAGTAATAAAATATTCTATTAATCTATTCTTTCATGACTACCAAAATTTTATTTCAAATGCATCTTACATTTTTAATGCAAATAAATGTCTAATGCGAAAAATGCAATCTAGGTAAACTTGAGAGATAATAGAAAATTTGAATTGAATTTCTAAAACAGAAAATTGTTTTATTACACTTTCTTAAAACTACAATGTCAATTGTAGTTTAACAAACATACACACAAACATTCCTGCAGAAATTTTCATTTTATTCATCAAAACACCACCACAATTTTGATACATTATTAACAAGCATCCAACATTATTTAACAACCAACAACAGGGATAGATGTGTGTCTATTACCCTATGGCCTATGTAGATTGGTTTTGTGACTTTTGTCTTAAATCAGAATATGCGGAGTTGTAATTTGTTCATCATACTAAATAGATTAGATTAGCCTATGAAGATTGTACTAGTATATATACTATCGTATTCCGTACATAATATCAAGTCTTATTAGTCAATATTATATTAGACTTAAATAGATCGGATCAATTCAGATAAAATAAGTAGAGACTCCAAATTTCTCACATAAATTTGGAGTTGAACTTTAATTTAATACTCCATGGTACTAATTAATGAACAACGTGAACTGTTTAATTAATTAATTTTGGCATGGGGAAAACATAACTGAGTTGATTCATAATATTGTATATACATATTTAATTGTGTTGAAATATTCATAAAACAATAGGAAATTGTAAACTACCGTCAGTCTCAAATTACAATTTCATTTTTGTTTTATTAGAAAATACTGTGACAATATTTATCTCACATTTCATAATGTTTTTCAAGATACCAATAATTACAACGGAATAATATTTTGGAGATAATAAAACAATTCCAACTCTTATATAGAGCAATTTCCTTTAGTTATACGGAGTATATAGTTCCAACTAAACTAGTTACCGTTGTCGGTGTTCTAAAAGGCGTGAAGCGTACAATGCATCAAGGCCAAGTCTCAAGTCTTTGAAATCAAGGCGAGAATAGACAAAATTGAAGGCTTTTTAAATTTCTATTGATGATTACTATTTTATATTGTTATATGTAGAAAGAAGATTAAATCATTCAAGAAATATTATACATGATTGAGCCTAATTTATACTTTATTCAATATCTATGATTTTTAATATGTATAAGAAGTGAAAGTACAAAATAATATATTGTTTATTTTTGCTAATTTATACTTTATTCAATAACTATGATTTCTTTCCATTGAGGATGTTTTTACTTGGATTGTAATTTACTGATCTAGTCTGGTCTGGTCTGGTAATGTCTGGTCTCTTTGTATTTTTATAATTATCCAAGTCTGGTCTGGTCTGATCTGATCTGATCTTGTCTGATCTGGGACGAAATACAGTCCAAGCAAAAACATGCTAATGTGATGATCAACTATCCAATTGAGCACCTTTTCCACGTCTTATATTGTACGGGAAGTTTTATTGCTGCCTTACACTCTGGGACGTACAAGCCCACACTGTTCATGGCCCCTAAATGGCTAAATGCATCCCGAAACTCCTCAACTGAATGACCGATTAAGTAGCCGGTAAAGGAAGGGCCGAAGGGTTTAGACTGTCGAAGCCTAGTGGGCTAAAGTGAAGAAGAAAGAAAAACAATTCTCTGTGTCAAAACCCTCAGTCTTCTGCAATTTGAAATTAAAACGAAACTGATCCGAATTATACTCTCCCAAGAACTGAATGAAAGCATTACCTTAAACAGTTAAACGGAGGAAAATGATTGAAGGGCAGAGCCTGTCCTCGTTTTCCTTGACCATAAAAATGTCGAAGTGGCGTGATAGGATATTTATTATGTACACAGACCACTGACCAGACGGGCAGAGGGCGTTAGTTTCAGAACGAAAACAGGGGTGGGGAATACATACACAACTAACCCAACCACATATATATGCACACACATACAACACAATGATTGTATCAGTCCGGCTTGATAGGGTCCGTCGTGCGGCCGCCTTATTTGATTATGAGATTCCGACACGAATGTTTTGATTAAGTTTTATGAGCATATTCTCGATGAAGTACATTTTGGTAATAAAAATAATCTTTTTCAAGTGCAACGCTATGAACGTTAATTATATTGAACTACTTGTTTCATTGCTAAATAGTATGTAATACTTTGAACGTTAATGTACTATACAAATAACGTAAAGATTCATGATGCATATATTCGCATAATAAGCATTATTTGTACCTTATCTCTCCTAAAGTGCACTATGGACAAGTAAAAATACATATGTGCACATTTTGCATGAGAAACTTTTAACTACATACTACGCTACGAAGTATATCAGGTGCATTTCATTTTTTGCCCCAAATATTACTAAACTGCCAGGATTTGGCCAATTTAACATCATCTATTAATGTTAACTTTTACATGATCTGGAAAATTCAATCGAATAGAAAAGCACAGAACTCTAAAGGATTTCTCAATATAAAATTGACTTTGCACCCCACTTTTTAGGTGATATTGGACTTTGCACCCCATTTTAAAAAACCTTTTGACTTTGCACTTTATCATATAACATTTGTGAAGGAAATTTTCTAAATGAGGTGCAAAGTCAAAGCATTTTGAAATGAAATGGAGTGCAAAATCAAAGTTTTTTTTTAAAATGGGGTGCAAAGTCCAATATCAACCAAAAAGTGGGGTGCAAAATTAAATTCCCCTATAAGTTTTGTTAAATCACAAAAGTCGAATTAAAATGTTATGAGAAATAACATATAAAAAATAAAGAATAAAGAAAAAGTTAAATTGAATATTTGAATGTGTCAACCTCTTAAGTTCTAAACCTTAAACTTGGACATGTAGCCATGTATGCGAGTCATGAGTGAGTGGGTAATACGAGTAAAATACCATCAGATCCTGTTATGAGCAAGGGCAAGGGAAAGAGAGTTGTTAACCAGAGTAAAACACTAGTAGAGCCTCTTATAGAGCAACGACAATAAGGGTGTTTGGAACTGATTCTGCTTCTTTTTTAAAGTAGACGCAGAATCAGAATCAGTTTTTAGAAGCTAGTCTTTCTCTGCTTCTAAAAAACTGATTGTAGGACTAAATTAAGGCACCAGAATCACTTCTGCACTTTCACTCAAGCACTCTAACTTCTACTTCTGCTCCTTGAAGGAGCAGAAACAGTTTTAAGAATTAGATCCAAACACCCCCTAAAACATGCATGTTCGTGTGTCCCATTGGTCTATTATGGCCCCATCATACTATTAAGCTTATATATAAATATTGTGCATAATTACATTCTAAGTAATTGTCCTACGTAGGACTAAAGTTTAACTTCATTCCCTAAATAGGACTCTAAATTTTTATTCCCTAAATAGGACTCCGGATTACCATTATACTCTTCTATATAATAACAAACCCTAATTCCTAAACACCCATCTCCCTCATTTGATCGGTTCCCTGCGCCTCACCCCCTCTCTCTCGTAAACATTTCAACCGCCACACCTATTCTCCATTGTCACCAACACCTCTCCCTGCCACCTCTCACACCGCCGCATCACTACGATGTTGTTTCTCTACGACGACGCCTCTTCCACCATCGCTGTCGATTTTGAGCCGATTCCAGGTATCTCCTCCTCCTCCGCTTATTCTTCTTCTGCTGCTGCTGCTTCTGCTCCTCCTCCTCCTCTGCTTCTTCATCTTTTTTTGCTGCTACTGCTTCTGCTCCTCCTCCTTTGTCCTCTATTTTTTTTAATAAAAAATCATATTCGTATTGAATGACTTTTATTTTTTTTGCAAATTTTTTCTTGATATATTTTTTTATTTTTCAAAATCGATTGTTTTGATTTATTTTCTGATTTACAGGCTTTGTAGTTTGATTTCATTAAACCTCTATTTTTCAAAGATATGTTTTTTGTGGGTTGGGAGTAGTTTGCATATTTTGCCAAATTTATGGTAATTATATGTATAGTGGCAATGCTATTATATGGCAGAAAAGCTTTTCTTTTTATCATTTCAAATCTTTCCAACTTTATGGCAGATTTATTAATTACAATATGGCAAAATTATTCCTTGTTTTTTCTGTTTTTTGGTAACGATTTTTTTCAATCTTTATGGCAGATTTTTCCTTGTTTTTTGGATATTGCCTGCATATTTTTCCAAATTTCTTGCAATTGACTGGATATTAGTAATTGTGGCAGAAAAAATATTTCTTTTATACTCTATTCAAAGATTTTGCCAATTTGAGGACAGATTTGGTACAAATTTTGCCAACTTAATGGCATTGATGATGAAGACGCTAGGATTTGCAGAGGTAGAGACCGGTGAACCGCAGCGGCGGCGGCCGATGAAGGGCGGCGGAGCCCGGTGGAGGGCGGCGGTGGCGGCTGGTACCTGGAGGGCGGCGGCAGCTAATTAGTACAGGGTGGCAGCTGCAGTTTTGGTACATGGCCAGTACCGTAGCTAGGTTTTAAAAATGTTTTTAGATTTTTAAATTTTAAATGTAAATGTGTTTAGAATTTCATTAAGAGTAATTTTGTCAAACTAATGTATTTTTAGTCCTATGAAAATGTAAGTCCTATTTGTGCATTTACTCATTGTTATAGTCCTATTTAGGGAATTAACTCTCTCTTTTACATTCTTCTAATGTGAAAGTTGGAAAATTCAAATGGAACGAAAAGAATATACTTCTATTGTGCATAATTACATACTCTAAGAGCATCCACATTCATGATTTTAAAATAATTTGATTATTTGTGACTCTTACCTTTTAAAATTTGCCACATAAATGTTTTGGAAATAATCTCATCCCCTCCAAATTACCTTCAACCATCATCCCGAAATAATCTGATCTTTTGTGGGTCCTGTAGCAACTAATTAACTCTAATTTCATAGATAATCTCAAAATAATCTGGTTTCATATTTTGATCTCAGATTATTCTATCAATTAATTCTGTCCAATAATCTCTCTCACTCAACCATGCTCTCCCAAATAATCTGCCATGTCAATAGAATAATCACTTAATAATCTTATGGATGGTGATGCCCTAAGTCGATGTTTCAATTGTATAGTCAAGCTAGTCTACTTCATTTGATTGACGATTAGTTTTAGTTTACAAAAAAACTTTATACTGCTCGAAATAAGCGTGTTTAATTCAGAAAATAGGCTTCACCTCTTAAGTCGCACTATCTTTATGAAGTTTCGACTTTCGAGGCTATATACAAAATGTGAGAACGAGACTTGAAAGTTAAAAACGACACAACTTCTTCGGCCGCGAATTCCTGTTCGGGAGGATGATTAATTCGTATTCCGTCGCCTCTGAAGCGTTTTCCGAACGTCTCGTTCGTTGAATCGTTAGACGAGAAAAGATGTCAAGAAACGCAATTCAATCTTCCTGGAATTCAATTTCTCAAAAACACAACTTCTTCGGCCGCGAATTCCTGTTCGGGAGGATGATTAATTCGTATTCCGTCGCCTCTGAAGCGTTTTCCGAACGTCTCGTTCTTTGATTAATTCGTATTCCGGGACGGGGATCCGGCAGGTCGGACCAATTGATAAGAACAGAAAAGTAAAATCAACGGGGTGAACCGTTGCCCAGAGCCAAAAGGCTAAACCAACTTTTATTCCCCGATTCTCAAGAATGAAGCATACAAGGGGTATAAATAACCCTCTAGGTCTAATAAGAATAGGAATCCTAATTAAATTATTCTAGGAAACTAAATAGAATAGGAAACCTCTAGTTCTAATAGAACTCCTAATTAAATCATTCTAGGAAACTAAATAGAAATAGGAAACCTCTAATTCTAGTAAGAATAGAAGTCCTAAATAAATCCTACTAGGAAACAAATTAAATTAGGAAACAAAATAAAAGGAATAATAAATATTAATTAAACAGCCCGTAACCGGCCCACGGAAGTGGGCCCAAGTCCGGTCCCGCCACATGCTCTTCCCGCTTCATATCAATCCACCCCCTTAAAATAACCTTGTCCTCAAGGTTGAAAACTCGCTGATTGGGAGCTGAAATTTCCAGACATAGTATAGACTGGAAAATATCCTTCTTCTCCTTCATGAACCCTTTCCTGGCCGGTTATTTCGCAGAATTCATGCTGCTTGAGGTCCAACTCTTCATCCTCCTCGGCTATCATTACCCGCAGCTGCTTAAAGGGACAATCATGCCCTGGCGTGAATGGTTTCTTGCATCTAAAGCATAATCCTTTTGCCCTCAAATCTGCTAACTCTTTTGGCGCAAGACGGGTGAACTGGGATCGTGTCGTAGGCTGCCCAGACAGCCCTGACTTTGTCCCCGGAGGCTGTCCACTATCCTTCGCAAAGCTGCCCCCTGAGCCCTGTAAGCTGCCACCGGTGGCAGTCAACGGGGGACCCGTGTTTGCCCTTACAAAACTGCTGGAACGTACCCCCGAAGAATGATAATTCAGGCTGCCACTTTCTCCACTTTGGACGGACAGATTATACTCCACTTCGCGAGCTAATTCCATAGCCATCTCCAGGTTGTTTGGTCGAAGTAATCGCAGCGAGCTTCGGGTTATCTCCTTAAGCCCACTCATGTAATAGCCCAAGTAATGATCGTCAGTTAATCCGGGTACTTGACTGGCGAGTTGTACAAACAAAGTATTGTAATCTTCCACTTGCCCAATTTGTTTAACGCCAGCTAGCCGCTCAAATCTGTTTCCTTGATATCGGGAATCAAATCTAGCCACCAAGGCTTGCTTAAATTCCTCCCAGGATATGCCGGGTTTGCGCGCCTTTAACCATGTCACCCAATAGAGGGCTGCCCCTTCCATAGAAACCCTAGCCGCTGCAATTTGTCTATCTGGTGGGGTCCTGTTGAGCTCGAACTGCTGCTCCACTCTTGCCAGCCACCCAATTGGGTCTTCACCGTCGAATGAGGGAAGCAGTGTCGTGGATGCGCTGCGCGGTCTGCCCTCGTCGGTGAAAGCAG